GATGCATATAAATGACAAGTAATAGCTGGGGAAGAATATTGTGTATACGGCAATATGAAGAGGTTCTACAGATTCCCTCGTGTGCATTGGAGCACATATTCCTCTTATCTCACATGAACCCTGCCTCCCACTGAAGTACATGGTGGTGGAGGGTCAAAACGGACACGAAACATAGAAAGGAAGCAGTAAAAAGAAAATTGTCAGCAAGGAAGAGAGAGGTGCCTGCGCCGGGCATCAAGAGCATGGACCACCGTCCGTTTGCCCCATTAACCCGGTGTCCACGAGCGGCTTACCCGGACTTTGTGGTGTGGTCGCCCCAGATGCAGGAGCCGCGGAACATGATGTAGATGGCCAGGCCGAACATCAGCCCCCCAACGAAGAAGCCGACGCCAAGCATCAGGGTTCCCGTCTTCAGGTCGTTGCACATTGATAGTGCACCAAGCAGTTCGTCAATCACGAAGTTGCACTCGAGCAGCGGCTTGGCGTACGAAACGGCGATGCTCGCGTTGCGCGACTGCGCAGCAACAGTTAATATTCCGGTCGCAATCTCCTTGGTGCGGTTGTCCCTGCAGCTGGCGGCACATTCGGTCAGCGAGCAGGACTCACCAGGAGTTGGGCATGCCATCGTGTAGTTCTTCACAAGGGTGCTCCCCAGCACATCGGCCACGGTGTCAAAGTCAGGACACTGGCTGGCTGCAGTGATGCCTCCGCCGCACTGGAGCGGCTTCGGAGTGACCACCTCGCTGTTGTCGCACGATTCGAGCAGCTCTTTGCAGGCATCCATCGAAAATCCCGATTCGGCCTCAGCAACCTGCTGGTTGATGGCCCTGAAGTCGAACATTTCCTCACAGTACGGCACAAGGTACCACTGGAACAAACCTGGCTGCCGTTGGTACTGCAGCTCTATCTCGCCGCACCCAGCCGTGGAGACGAACGCCAGCAGAATGCAGGCAACACCGAGCAGCGCAAACACAGCCCCGAAGATCCAGTACGCGCACGAGAGGAAGAGTGGCAGGCACGGAA